AAGCTGTACTTTGGAAATTTATATTCATTAAATAAAAGTTTAAAAAAAAAAAAAAAGAAAAAAAAAAAGAAAGGAGAATCAGTGTACTAAAAAAAAATGCCTTTTCACATATTTAAATAAAATTATTCTTTTCATCTATTCTTAGCACTCATCTTTTGGACATATCATTAGCTAGAAAGAAAAATTTCTCAACAGGCAAGGCAGAAAGGTTGGTGGGAATGACTCTTAAATGTGACTTGGAATGTGTCCAGGACTCAAATTTTTCACTGGCTAAAACACATGGATAACACTTTTATTGATTTCTTTTCAACTCAGTGAGTGTAATTCAGTAAGATAGTTGTCAAATCACAACAAGAAATATTTATTCCAACTAAAATCAACACATACTTTTCTAATTCCATAAAATATTTAATAATTTCTCATACATGTTATTAATAAAAACATATTAGTAAGGCTGTCATACTAAGTGGTTTTATATTTGAATATGGAATTTTTTCATTACATATTTACATAGTTCACAAAATCTTCCAAAGATGTATCAAAGATCCATTATGCAAAAATGTGAACAAAATTACTGCCACAAACATTCATTCCCAGTAAGAGTTGAGTATTATATATTTAAAATTTATTTTTAAAAATTTAATTTATTTATTTTCACAACTGCATTCAGTATATGCAGTTTTGACTAAAAGTACTAATAGTAGATGGAATGGTAACTTTTTCAGAATATTTTAATATGTAGTGATATGATCACAGAAAATAAACTGTAAAAATTAAAAGTATACATATATGTGCTTATGTTTTTATTTGTGTAAGATATATGTGTGTGTGATTTTAAGAGACTTTACAATAAAAACCAGTTACAGTGAGAATCACATTTGTGGGGGATGTTAGACTGGAAATACAAGCTTGGGAGAAAAAGGAAAAAGTTACTAATCTGAACGCTAAATCAGAGATTGTCCACTTTTTAAAAAAATAGCTGATGTTGGGCATCAAATCATCATAGTAACTTAAAAGTTCTATTTTCAAATGGCAATATGTACACCATATAGAAATCAGATCCTTTAGAAATATTTAAACTTACAAAAGAAAAAAATTAGTTAACAAGTTTGACATACACAAATGAGAACAGAATTTTTCACATGCCTCTCAGGAGGCAAGGGAACCAAAGAATATGATGACCACAGGGGCAGGGAAGTCTTCCCTGTAGCCAACAACATCAATCGCTCAGATTCCTGTGAGGCAGATGAGGCCTGAGTCGGTCCTACCATCGGAATTTCCCTGGCTTCCTGAGACGCTAGGGACTCTCAGGAGCTTGATTTTATATATATATATATATATATATATATATATATAGTCATATATATATGACTAGAAGGAGATATGCTGGTGTATTGGTGTATTTTACAACTTATCAGTGTTTATTTCATAGTGGCAAAATTAGGAAAGATTTTTTTTAAATGTCCTTTATCTTTGTATGATTATTTCCAGCATGTCTGCAGGATACTAGAATACTCCCTTGAGAGGCACTAACTTTCCCATTCCCATCAGGTCCCCCTCGCTGTTGCAAGCTGAGGTTGGGATGCTGGGAAAAGACACAGTGTCACAGGAGCCATGGGTAGGGACTGAACATCACTTCCCTGAGACCTGAGCCACAAAGGCAGGGGTTGCTCACCTTGGCATAAGCCTCTTCTTACCTCTGCTACCCCAACTAGTCTCAGAGAATATTTCTTTTAAGGCTTGATGTTGGGTGAGAAAATTTAAAAAAAAATGCTTGTTTGTTTTGTATTTATGAAAAGCTTTTGTAAAAATCCAATAACTGACCTTTCTCCTTTGGCAAAACAAGACCCCTCTGAGCCAGGATTCTAATTAGAAAAACTGCTAACTGCAAAGTTCTAGACACACTTTTTGTTGGTGGGATTGTAAACTGGTGCAGCCACTGTGGAAGACAGTATGGAGATGCCTCAGAAATCCAAATATAGACCTAGCAATCCCACTCCTGGGGATATCTAGCAATCAAAAGAAAACAGCATATGAAAGAGTTATCTGTACCCCCTTGTATCCCACTCCTGGGGATATCTAGCAATCAAAAGAAAACAGCATATGAAAGAGTTATCTGTACCCCCAATTCATAATAGCTAAGAAATGCAATCAACCCAGATGTCCATCGATTGATGACTGGATAAAGAAATTATGGTTCATATACACTGTAGAGTACTACTCAACTGTAAAAAAAAATGAAATCTTGTCTTTTGCAACAAAATAGATTCAACTGGGAACGATTATACTTAGTGAAATAAGCCCATCCTAAAAAGACAGATACCATATGTTTTCCTTGGATCTGGGGTAACTAATAGAGTAGCTAAAATGTAATGTATTGGAGCAAAATGGACATTTTTGAGATTCAATGACTGTTTACAGCCCTTGTCTCTTCTGTAGAGGAACAGTGTATTTTTCTTCATACTATTTGTTAAACTCTTTTAATTGGTGTAGGGTTAACCTTATGAGTATAAAGTAAACTGAAAATAGATCTTTGTAAAATTTAAGAGTGGGAATAGGAAAGGGGGAAGGGTGGGAGCCTGGCCAGGGAGGAAGGATGGGGTGGGAAGTATCACTATGTTCCTAAATCTGTATATATGAAATACATGAAACTTGTGTAACTTAAAGGAAATTAAAAAAAAATTAAAAATGGCTACCCTCTTTTAATAGTAAACTATGTCTAAAGACAGAAAACAAAAGACCTTAAGGATCTGTTTTCAAATAGATTTCTCTTTTCCTCTAGACCTCATAGAGGCAGGACATTAACAAAAGGGTGAAACTGTCTAAAGGCTCATAGCCACAGAACAAATGGATGGAAAGTATGTAATCTAGGCTTCTCTTATAGCTACATGACCAGATAAATGTTCCTTATGAACAAAGGAACTTGCAGACCTTTAAATACTCATAATCCCATGGGAGCCTCCATATTTTGTAATACATGCAGGGCCGTTGAAGAATTCACATCCTGGTTTGTTGTGGCTCTTCCCACCTTTGAGCCAATGTTCTGCTTTCATGTCATAAAGTCATTGCCTAATATTATGGGGACTACAAGAACTCACTCCCTCATTATATTACATGTATTTTATTTTACTCTAACCTCATCCTCAACTGCCCCCACCACAATATTTGGAACAAAACAGGGGCTCCAAAGATGAAGGTGAATGACTAAATGACACACACAGAATGTAATAGTTGTCAGTGATTTAGTCAAAGTGTGTAAATGAGGATACAACAGAGGACACAGAAATGCTGAAACACAAGCAATGAAATTACTAAAAATTAAATACAGAAATATTAAATATTAACCAGATTTCGCAGATACTGTGTTAACTTGAATCCTGCAAAATTCCATGAATCACTGAGTCCCAAGAATCAAATGAAAAGCAGGCAGGAACAAGAGACAGGGTTGGAAAAGATGGTTGGCTTGTCCTGCATCCCAGCTGCCAGGTGGCCAGAGGAAAAGCACCTTCCTTCATCCTGGGAGCCAAGCACAGACTGCGGGCTTCAGTAGCCATTTACTTCTCCCCTCCCTGAACAGCTAGGGCCTGGAGTTAGATGGACACCTGGATCCCACAGTGGAGTGTATCACTTTCCTGGCAGTGACAGAGGGATAAGACACTTCCAGGACAGACAAGGCAAGGATGTACAGAGACAAGGCTTTTCACAGTATATAAAATCGAGAAAACAAAGCTAGGATCAATTTTTACAAAGCTGTACCTGATGAATCAGACTTGGTTCCAAACCACCAACACCTGGGTAGAAGAGAAAGGCACATCGTGAATCAGCCTGTGCACGGTGCCACGTGAGCAGCACTGTAAGGCGGTCAGAGGACACACTGGGGGGAGTTCGGAGGTGTGTGTGGGATGACCCTGTGCTAGGAATCTGAGTCTCCATCCTCCCCAACTGCATCAGAGACCACTGCACAATGGCAGCATCTGATACTCATTTGTTTCTCCAGATTCCTTTTATTAAAAGACTGTTCAAAATTCTAAGTGTCTGCTTCGCTCATAACCGCAAGCGTTTACTTTTCCTGTTACCCTGGCCTCTCATTCCGCGCCTTCCAAACTGCTCTTCATATTACAGCTGAAACACCTGTAACCTTGCTGAAACCTAATAGAGTTAAATATTGCTTTCTCTGAAGCTGCACAGCACATTGCTTATAGTTCTACCTGGTAATGTCATTTTGCTTTATCTTTCTATTCTTCTGTCAAGCCAAACTGTGACTTCCTTAACCTTTTTCATCTTTCTGACCTCAAAAGCACTTATCACAGTGTTCTGAACACAGAAACCCCTGTTTCATAGGAGAAAGAACCTGGGATTTAGAGTTCAGCCCATCTGGATTCTGAACGTTTTCATGTATCGGTTGTCAGTTGTGAGGCTTATTTAACCTTTGTATTCCCCTATCCTCATCTCTCCATAATATCTTCTCAAAGTTGTGATAAGGATACAACATAATAAATGTAAAGTTTCTGGTAGATAGACCATCACTAACTGTGATTTATCTTCCTGAATTAACATAGAAAATTACCTCCAACACACAGGTTAGCATGGTGCTGAGCATGCCATGAAAGTTTGTAAGTACACCTTGACTTTGACGTCTGGGAGATGAAGTCGCTATTGTTAACGACCTACCTTGAACTCTTTCTCAATGTTCGCCAGAACGGCCAGCTCATTGCTAAGTTCTAAAGCCGTCATGACTGGGTCTTCACTAGACAATGACAGGTAAGCCGGACTCGCCAGGCCTTTATAGGCATTAATCCTAGACCTGGAGTGGCTAAAGGAGTCGTGCTTCTGTTTCTGGTTGCATTCACTGCACTTGCAGAAGTAATCATGGGGCCTTTCAATCCGGGCACCCTTCCGCAGGAGCGTATGAACAATTTCATATTCCTGGCAGTGGGCCGCCAGGATGATTGGAGTCACATCATGTGAGAACCGGGTCCCATCTTCGTCGTAGGCATAAAAATCATCCAGCTGGAGTTCAGACTGGCTAGGGCTGGTTGCTAACCTCCTGCCTTCAGCAAAAGCTGGATGATTGAGAATTGCTTCCACAATCCGGACGTAACCTTTACTAATAGCTAGAAGCAAAGCATCTCCAACCCGAGAAAGGTTTTCTTTCTTGAGAAGAAGCTCTGTGATTTCCAGGTGCTCATTGGCCACTGCCAACTGCAGGGCATTCTGACCCATGTAATCCACACAGTTCACATTGAGTGACAGGCACTCCTCTAACATCTTCCTCACCACTGGGATGTTTCCATATTCAGCTGCATCTAAAAAGCGTTCCTCCTCAATAGATAGGCTTGTGGAGCGATCACTAAACATGTACGCTGGTCCTCGGTTAGCCAACCTTCTTCCCTTCTCACGGAGAACTGTCTGCCGCCGGTGGGTCAGTCTGTTGTCAGTGCCCCGGCTGCAATCAAAGAGACAGATTATGAACAAATCATATTTAGAGCATTTTAGTGTGCCAAATGAACTGTCATTTTCTAATGCATTCCTTAAATATATTAGACCTTGTCTTATTGTCTCTAGACCTGCTACTTAAGAAAACGAAGATGCATGCATTTGTTTGTTAATGGATTCCAAGGATTTCTCCTTTAAGAAAATAAGTACTTTACCAATTCTTAACATCCCCATCTAAGGTGGAGACTCTAGCAGTTGGCATAATCTCTGTGCCTTTCACATAGAGATTAATATGCATTTCTTAACCACGGAAGTACAGACTTAAGAAAGACTAACTCTCTGGGGCCCGTGCTATGGTGTAGAAGGTTAAGCCTCTGCTGGCAGTGCCCATATCCGATATTGGTGCCAGTTCAAGTCTCCGCTGCTCCACTTCTGATCTAGCTCCCTAAAACTGCACCTGGGAAAGCAGTGGAAGATGGCCCAAGTGCTTGGGCCCCTGCACTCACATGGGAGACCTGAAGGAAACTCCTAGCTGCTGGCTTAAGATCAGCCCAGCCCCTGCCATTGTGGCCATCTTGGGAGAGAACTAATGAATGGAAGACCTTTGTCTCTATGTCTCTCCCTCTCTCTCTATGACTCTGCCTCTCAAATAAATAAATAAATAAATATTAAAAAGACTAACTTTATTACCCATAATCAGTCACCAATATAATAGAGTGTATGAATATAAAAATAAAAATTAGAGAAAAGTAGCAAATAAACTCAGCAGCTACTTATTAAGTCCTTCTTATGCCAATGTCAGCACTAAATAACACCTGGGAAAAACAGTAGTGAAGAAGTGTAGGTACTTTTTTGTCCTTACAAATCGTATAGTCTAAAGGGAGAAATAGAAAACCAGCACATTGCCTTGTTGGCTGCTGCTTAATTCTCATGATAAACCTATGGCAGGGGCATCTAACCCAGTGGTAGGCTGAGTAGGATTTAGGAGAGAATGTGCACTCTGCGGAGGTGGGGAGCAGAGGGTTATGACAGAGGTCAGATGTAGGTGGAGAGGAGAGTGATCAGGTTGATGCTAAGGCATAGGTTCCATTAATAAGGGCGGTTAATGCTTAGGCTCTGTTACCCTAAAAATCAATGCAGATTTGAGAAAATCATGATCAAGGTCCCAGCTGGGAAGGATTATTTCTGTAAAGGAGATAGTGGTGAAAGCAGCAGCCAGCCCTTACTGTAAACCTTCAACCTGTGATGAGAAAGTGATTCTTCTCCTATCAAGATGTTACAATGGGGACCAGCGCTGTGGCATAATGAGGAAAGCCACCGCCTGCAGTGCCGTCATCCCATATGGGCACCAGTTCGAGTCCTGGCTGCGTCACTTCTGATCCAGCTCTCTGCTATGGCCTGGGAAAGCAGTGGGGGATGGCCCAAGTCCTTGGGCCCCTGCACCCTCATGGGAAACCCGGAAGAAGCTCCTGGCTCCTGGCTTCAGATGGGCGCAGCTCCAGCCATTGTAGTCAATTGGGGAGTGAACCAGCAGATGGAAGACATCTCTGACTCTGTCTCTTGTCTCTCTCTCTCTCTACCTCTCCTTCTCTGTGTAACCCCGACTTTCAAATAAATAAATAAATCTTAAAATAAAAAGAAAATGGGAGACTATAAAAAAAGATGCTACAATGGGGATTTTCTTTCTTTACCAATCCCCAACTTTATGTTTTAAAGCCTCTTTGTGCTTGAAGGACTAATTAAAATTAGACCCTCAAATCTTATCTCTATTGCTAACAGGAAACCTCAGAGTGAGTTCTTACAGAATTGGGGAAAGGTATGAAAAGAAGGAAAAGATATGCTAAATGAGTGTTGTTTCCCCTCTTTATAAATTTCCAGAATCTTTCTTCTTTAAAGACTGAAAACCTTTCCAGGATGAAGACAAATGGATACAAAAACTCCACAAGCCACCCTTCCCTTCAGTGTGGCCAGGCCTAGAGAATCTAAATTGCTTTCCCCACTAGCAATTATTCAGCTTTATTTTACTTATTTATTTGAAAGGCAGAGCAACAGTGAGAGGTAGACAGAGAGATCTTCTATCTGCTGTGTCACTCTCCAAATGGCCAGAACAGCCCAGGCTGGCCCAACCAGACGCCAGGAGCTTGGAACTCCATTCCGATTTTCCACATGGGCATCAGGGGCCTAAATACTTGGGCCATCTTTTGCTGCTTTCCCAGGCACATTAGCAAGGAGCTGGATTGGAAGTGGAGCAGCAGGGACTCAACCAGTGCTCATATGGGATTCAGGTGTTGCAGGCAGCAACTCACCCCACAGCTCTGGACCCACAGTTATTCCTCTTGATACAAAATCTCCAGGAGATATTATTATCTATGGCAGGGTGATAGTTAGCAATAGAAATAAGTTAGGGAGACTTCAGTGACTCACAAATAGATTATAACTCTCCTAGGAGCTTGAATTTATGCTGCCATCTTCACAAATATTTTTAATTCAACGGTGATTCCTTTGGCTATCAAAAGACTCTTCAAAACCAACCATCTGATGTTGTATTAAAGAGACAATCTTGGGGCAGGAGCTGTGGCATAGCTGGTAAAGCCGCCGCCTACAGTGCTGGCATTCCATATGGATTCCAGTTCGTGTCCTGGCTGCTCCACTTCCAATCCAGCTCTCTGTTATGGCCTGGGAAAGGAGCAGAAGATGGCCCAAGTGCTTGGGTCCCTGCACCCATGTGGGAGACCCGGAAGAAGCTCTTGGCTCCTGGCTTTGGATCAGTACAGCTCCAGCTATTGCAGTCATCTGGGGAGTGAACCAGTGGATGGAGGACCTCTCTCTCTCTCTGCCTCTCCTTCTCTCTCTATGTGACTCTGACTTCTGAATAAATAAATAAATCTAAAAAAAAAAGAGAGTAAGTCTTGTGAATTTAAAAGAATGACATGAAAGGCCAACACAAAAAGCATTTAATATGATAATTACATCTAAGATGAGTGTTTATACAATGTGTTTATAAACTTATTAATGATAAGGAGATGACTTCTGAGCTCTTTTCATTCTGTATAGCTATTATTTTAGTTTTGATTCCAACTTTAATCAAAGTTACATATGAAACATATTTTAAAGACTTTTTAATCTTATTACAAAAAAGCAGCAGGCCCATGTGCCTCATTTTTCCCCATTTCTTGATCCCTAGGGACATTTTAATTAAACTATTTTACTAGTTTTTTTTTAAGATTTACTAATTTATTTATTTGAAAAGCAGAGTTACAGAGAGGACAAAGGCAGAAGCAGATATAGAGAGAGAAGTCTTCCATCCACTAGGTTCACTCCCCAGATGGCCGCAATAGCTGGAGCTGTACTGATCCAAAGCCAGGAGCCAAGAGTTTTTTCTGGGTCTCCCAAGTGGGTGCAGGGGCCCAAGGACTTGGGCCATCTTCTGCTCCTTTCCCAGGCCATAGCAGAGAGCTGGTTTGGAAGTGGGGCAGCTGGGACTTGAACCGGCACCTATATGGGATGCCAGCACTGCAGGTAGTGGTTTCACCAGCTATGCCACAGTGCAAGCCACTTTACCAGTTATTTCATAATTTAAAACTTATATCCATAAAGTTTGGTAATATGGCTATTTCTTTATTTTTCAGGTTTGCAATTACCTCCAGACTTTCCATTATGAAGTTAAGGATTTAGCTCACTTTCACAATCCTGCACTATGCTTTCCTGCCCATTTCTCTCTCCCTCCCCCCCACTCTCTCTCTCTCTCTCTCTCTCACACACACACACACACACACACTTCATGGTCCCTAATCACACCAGTATAATTACCTCACAACTTTCTTTAGATAATTCTTTGCTGTTTACACTATGAAAATGCAAGTACTAATCATAGCTAACTGGTATACTACGGCATCTTTTCTGGTACAATTTTCCTCTGACCTGAAACCCAGTAGTTAGAAATTCTCTTCATTTGCTTAATGCTCCACACACACATGACTAATTTAACCACATTCTCTTCTCCTTCAATGTAATTCTTAAGAAATCCTACATATCACGTGATATCTTTTCTATTTCAGTTTCTTGAAGAATCTCTTCCATAATTTTACGATCTGCTCATATGGACCAGTTGTTGTCTAGACTTAATAAACAAATGTTGTCTTTGGATCTTCCTTTTGGTATTATTCTAAGAATGTCCTCTGCTTTGCCTTTGTGTTGAGTTTCTTGCTTTCTTTCTTTTTTAAAAAAAATATTCGTTATACAAGTTTCATGTATTTCATATACACAGATTTAGGAAGTTCTTGGTTTCTGCATCTCCTGTTGTTTCCTTTCTTATTTCCTGGTTCTAGTACAGCCCATCCTTCAGTAGCTGACTGAGAAAGTGTGCACAGGAGGTAAAGATTTTGTTGCATGTCTAAACATTACTGTGTCCTACCTCCAAACTTAATTGGTGGTTTGGCTGCATAGAGAATTCTATGTGGACAGTAATTTTGAAGGTCTCACTATGTTAGATTCTAGTTTGTGCAGCTGCTACTGAGAAGTATAATGACATTTTCATTCTGAATATCTCTTTGTCTCTGGTGTCATAAAGTTACATGATTGCCTATTAGAAAGAGTCTGTTTTCTTCCACAGTGGTAGGCACGCAATAAGCCCATTTATTTGGGGGTGTGGCAGGGCGGGGAGAATGTGTTATCCTTTTCTGAAAATTGCTCTTGCCCTGTTTCTCTGATAATTTTGTTTCATGCTGTCATTGTTCTATTTCTGGAACTCTTCTTTGGATGTTAGACAATCTGGAATTGCTCTTTATGTCCCTTATCTTTTCTCTCCCATTTTCAACCTTTTTTTGTTTCTGGGAAATTTATTCAACATTATCTTCTAATATGTCCATGGAATTTCTCTGCTATTATATCTTTAATTATCAAGAATCTCTTTCTTTTTCTTAAACTGCTTCTTTTTGTAATACTTTTCTGCTTTCAAAGACCCAGTATCTTCTCTTTGGGGACATTGGTGATAAAGACTGCAGAGTTCTC